TTTTAATCGATTTTAGCACGAATATTTAGTGGTTAAACTGCCCATGTTCGTGTTCCCCCTGGATCTCGTATCGTGAATATCATCCATTCTCTCCCCCCTCACACACACACACACACACACAAATCTTTTGATTCCCCCAACTGCTTTCCAGAGACTGTTTCTACTCCGAGATTGACTATAACTTCGTCTTTTGTTGTTCCCCTTTTACAAATCAACTTACTTCTCATGCTGCGCGCATGATTAGTCTTTTTATTCCGCAGTAACCGGTTCTTCACCCCAGCTCATCTTCTCCTACCACATAAAGCTCAAATCCCCCATGAATACTGCAGTCATGTGTGGGACAGAGCTTTGTCTTCTTCTCCTTCCCTTCTTGATCGTGTTCAAACACCATCCGGCTGATGGATGACCCCTCCCTAACCTCTAATCTGCAGTCGATGGCCCAATGTCGGGCAGCTGGTTCATTTTCCCTGCTCTACCTTTACTTCTTTGGCTTTTGTGCTTTAGAGCTTGCCTCCGCAGTGCTTATTCCTAGAACTTTCACCTACCTATCCCGTACACAGGCACCTTGTTAGATTTCGGTTAACAGATGTAATTGTCCAATCTTCTTCTTTTGCTCGAAATGCCAAGTTGTGGATTATCGTCCCACTTTCTGTTGATCGTTTGACTTACAACCTAACACTCTCCAAACGTAGAATCAATAAGCTGGATCTTAAGTGAATTTTCCGCTACTCCTCCTTTTACAGTACACTGTTTGACTATAGGGATTTCCTCTTTCACTGGAACTCACATTATGTGCAATAAAAAAATTTGTTGATTCTGAGCCTGAATATAGAAAGGTAATAAGAGAAAGTGTTTCACGATTTCGCGGTTCCATCAGTCAGTGAATCCAGAGAGTATCTTTGAATTGTTCGTTGAAGATACTTGAACAGATTTCCAGAAGTAGGCGAATTTTGACCATGAACCCCAACTTTCTTGGTGGCAGGCTACTTGGATCTTCCCCGACTTAATATTAGGTCCATTCTGTAGAAAGGGGCCTTAGGTGACGGATTTTCCAAGTCTGATATTTAGTTTCCCAGTAAGCATAACTGAACTGTAGGATCTTGTGACTTTGGTTTTCACTTCTTTTGCTCCATCTTTTGTGATTAGTACCAGTGTGGTCAAGTTGTCCTCATCGTGCCATCGGCGCGCACAACTTCTGCACGATTTAAAACAATCTAATCCTTCAGGTTCGCTCACATAATATTGTAACTCTTGGCAATCCACTCATTAATATTTGTGTGTGCGTATTTACATCCGGCTGAACTGTTTGGATGCATGGCGTTTTGTTTACTTTTTCCCGATGGCTTGTTTTAACCTGTCCGCCTCCATCCACGGAGCTTTTGTTTACGCGTGATTGCTCGCCGTTTCCAGAATCCCCATTACTCCGTTTCGCCGTAGCCTCGCTGTTTCGTAATTTGTTCGTTCAACCTCGTATCATCCGGAATCACCAGGAAAAGAGCCGGGGGACATCTTGTTGCGCAATCGTGTCAAATCACCTGATCTGGGAGAGCCTGAGGCACTTTGCATTGCAGTTTCGCACACTTACTGGACCTTAAACATACACTAAACCAAGTGTTGGTTCACTGTCTTTACTGCCGCATTTCCACAGGTTCAACTGATCAGGTGTTGGGAACAGAGGTTGAAACAACATCCTGTTGTCTTGCTTCATCTGTCCACTTCAAGGTGGAACCAACTTTCAATGTCAACTAACTCGACTGGCGTTAAACAATAGATCGAATGCAGGAAATAAAGTAGATACGAATCATCACTTCAGGATGTCATTATAAGTGAGACGGGTGACCAAAATCCTTAGATGAACTGATATACACCCTTTTGATACTCCATCATTCTCAATAGCCGATTGGCACCTGAGTAATCAGTTTCAATCAATAGTGAGTTCAAACTGTACATCCGTTTGGTTTGGAACAGTAACACCATGAATTATCATCAAGGCGTTTCACTTACTTCACTTTCACCAGGTTTTAACTGTGGCTTAAAATTTCAACCGGTCTAGGGGAATCCGAAAGCACAAGACGATAATAAGTAAAGTCTGCAGTGAGCACAAACTTTTTGGGTGCGTGATATGTAGACAACAAATCTGGAAGGAGCTTATTGGTAAGCTGAAAAGCAACTTGGTCGCCTCGAACAGGATAATACAGCGCTTTAGAATGACCATCTAGACCGGATATTATTGTCTTCTAAGCCGTTCAAATTACGTACATATCTGATGGAGTGGGGTTCAACCGATTCGGGGTTTTAGTCCTGGGGTAGATTTTACCATCAATCAAGCAGTGAATAAGTACAAAATTGGGAACATTTGCGAGAGAAATGGATAATTTGGATCTTTGTGATCTTTCCCCATTGTTCAGTTCAGTTCCGTTCTTACATTAACCATGCACTTTCGTGCGCCGGTTTTGGTTGCCCATTTGGATAAAAAAGCAGAATGAAGATTAGAATATCGACAGCAGATTCCAGCGGAAGATAGCGCATTTAAATAGACTGAAATTACAAGAATAATGAGTAGATGCATGAGCGCTACTGTTTGCGACACCCAGCCATATCGCTCAGTGTCTCTAACCATCCGTGACCATGATCCCGGGGTCCCCAGCCAGGATGCCTAACGGGACCTACGTGAACCAGTCTCTTGGTCAGAGTTTTCATACCCTCATGCCAGATCTTCGTTTGATCGCCCTTGACCTGCCTCGGCAAACATCGCTTGTCGTGGCAACCTAAATGGTGACGTCCCAGCCAGCGTAGTCTATGGAGGTTGACTGCCCGCTCCAGTGGACGATCACAATTACCTAAAACTCTACATCTAATCTCAGCGTTGCTCGTCCAGTTACCCCACCAGACTCGTACAATGCAACGTAGACAGCGGTGTTCGAACACCGCGTTGTAGTTGTATCCATCATAATCAACTGCAGTCACACTCAATCGTCTTCATTTTCTTTCTCTTATGAGTAAATCGAATAGGTTCTAAATATATCCCGTGATTACCGAATGGAGATGGTAGTTTTATTGCGGATAAATCCAACTATCTGTTTATTATCTTGGTTTTTCTCTTTACAAACTCTTCCTGCTGGAATTAACTAAACAGGTTTATGCCCTCTTCCCTTACAAACACTAAACGTCTTGCAGAATTTTAGGTTAAACACGAATAAAACTTGCGAAAGATTACTCGATGTCAATTAGCGAAGTGAAGTGATTGACATGCCGTACGAAGCAATGCGATCATTTCATGGGTCGGACAAATAAGCTCGTACAATCTGTACTTATCTGCCTATTTATTCTGCTGGATCAATGTTTTGTCCTGGTTTTTTTTCAGGACACCCCAATGAATACATCCCCCCTCCCATACTTCATGTCCGTCCGAATCCAGTGTTAGCAGAGACCACCTGCGCTGTTTCTTCGCACGTCACTGGAAAAGTCTCAGAGTGCACATTCACGTTCCAGATCAAAGCCGCATTACGGTTAAAAAACCGGAATAGCTAAAACAGATAGAGACAAGAAAACAAGGAACAAATGCAGATAGGGATGTTCTGCATNACCAAGAAGAAGTGACACATACACGACACAATCGTCAGTACTTCCGTTCGAGATAACCAAGGTCTGTTTATTCGTTTTTGTTCATTGTTCACTGTGGTAAAATACTTCATCTATGAATTTTAACTATAACCTGGGCGTCCTGTCTGTTGAAATCTGTGCTGATTACCTAGTTCCGATAAACACGGGCATTCAATTGTTCAATATATTTTGGTTAACCTAAAATTATTCGTGCCATCGTGCTAGTTCTTTTTCAATCCCCAGTTGCGGATCAGTCTATGAGGCACAGCACTGGACCGATATTTGCTGCAATCTAGGTGATCTGGTGACAATTTCAAGTCAATGTGCGATCACGTGCCACGAGCATACCCTTACCCTTATACAAAAGAATCCAAAAAGATGGAGACATTTTTAGAACCAAAGACTAGGTATCAATGGTGACGTGTGTGTGTGTGTGTGTGTGTGTGTGTGTGTGTGTGATCAGAACTTCTCACCCCAAACTATGGATAGATATATGTGTAACAAACATATGACCCATTTGGTTAGACCCACTGGGGTTTGTGGTTCGAGGATCGGAATTGGCTGGGCTTGGATGGTGGTGGGATGACAAGAGGACAACAAGGAGGCGGAAAGCCGGGGAATGAACACACACACACCAACAAAGATGAGGAGGAGGAGGAGGGACAGATTAACACGTGTGCTGTATCTCATTTTTTTCTCGCTCGCTCGCTCTCTCTCTCTCTCTCTCTTTCACCCAAGCGCTAATCACACCTGAGTGACTTGGACGGATGTGTAATGGTTTGTGAAAATATTCGGGGATTGTTAGTTGAACCCACTTTTCATCGCTTCACGATCATCATCATCATCATACATGTTCACGAATTAGGCCAGAAAGTGTTTGACTGATCGTGTACTAATTTTGTGGTCACACGCTGATATACAAATGTATCTTTGCCCGTGAATTGAAAGCGAGTACACACGGACGCACACGAGCACGAGAGCGTGTTGCAACAGGGTTCTTCATAGTCGTGGTCATTGGTTTATTTGAAGATCCAGGGTCGAGTGGGTGCTAATTAGATACACACCTTCGGTCGCACTAAGTCAAGTGCGATCTCTCTCAGTGTGCGTGTGGGGGAGCGCACATCTACCTTTACGTACCACGAATACGAGTGATTTGGGCTAGTGTGTGTGTGTGTGTGTATGATCGTGTGAGNGTGAGTTCATCCGTTTTTCTGTTATTCGCTCTGTTCTCCTCGTTTTCGAGTTTAGTTCCGACGAACCAACTCATCTCTCACAAATGCGTGCTTGAGGACGCTCCCGACAACCGTGTGGTATACGCTCAGACTCTAACTGTGATCTATCCTTGTACACGTACGTTCTTCGGTGAAATTAAGTCCGGAACGGAAAACACCAAATCTATGGAACAGAAACGCTCACAATCCCTAATTTTGACTCCGGCTGAAGTGAAGGCACGGCGCCTAAAAATGCTTCAAACTATTGAGAATCGACGTCTGGAACTGATAAACCGTCAGTTATCCAGAGCCGAAACGAAAGCTTTGCGTCACTTGGAGTTTCAGCGTACCCAGTTCCGACGACGTCTGTCTGATGTAACTGGTCATCTTGGATCCGATGTGTTGGCCGATGCGAATTGCTCAAATATAATGCCATCCGGAGAAAGTTCCCCAGGAGACGGATCGCGCACATCACCACCGTACAGGGTCACACGATCCCTATCGAAAGTAGGGCGATTTTTGGATCGTTCATCCCAAACTCGCCTACCAAAATCATCCACAGAAAAAGTGGACGAATGCAGCACACAAGATACGGATGCCAAAAGCACCGAGGAAACGAGGCCGCCATTCTGGATACGTATTCCTTCATTGGGTATTTCTTCAGATGTTCCCACCACTGATGTGGGTACCCCAAGCGAACCACAATCACCTGTTGTGCAGGCCAATTCGGAAAGCAGTTCCGTGAACAGCTTAGCACCTTCACCGACGGTCACTACACAGCCGGAAGGTGGCACTTCCCCGACGGAAACAACAATAGACAAATTCACATTTCCTCCGGTCGAACACACTCATGACCCAACGATTAGCAGCACCACAACCACCACCCGCACATCGGATATGCGACCAATGTGGTTGAAAGCGCTGTACAAATTGCGGGAACAACGATTGGCTCGTCTACGTGGACAACAGGCGGCCGAATGTGAGAATTTGGCTGCTCTTGTTACTGGGTGTAGTTTAACCAGTACATTGCCTGCGAACACAAAGCGTCCAAAACCGGGGGCTGTGGCTCGCTGATTTCTGTTCTCTGATCCTGTTTCACCGGGAAGAAGGGATAAGTGAAATTAAGAGCGAATGCAATTCCCATTGTCTGTTTTCTCAGATTTTTCTGTGACTCCGTCGTTGATCCTATCTCCCGAGTCATCTAGTCGTTCTCATCGCACGCCACTCTGAAAGCACGTACTTGATCCCTACCACCTTATTGCTTCAAACATTCTGTGCTCATTACTCATTACTGTTCGATTTCGTTCACGAGTCTGTTGACAGTACGCTGTTTGTTTACCGTTTTTGTTCCGCAAAACGTGAGTTTCCGTAGGTAGCCCCGCTGTTTAGTGTGTATGGTTTGGATTGGGTAAAGTCTATCGGTAATACTATTTGTAGGTACATGTGTGGGAGTAAACGGATAGGCTTCTAGAGGACATGTGCTCACAGACGTCTTCTAATTAAGGAACTATTACACTATCATCTATGGAATGTTTTGTGACACTACTGGACAGTTTTTGGATACCACTCACTTGATTTCCTGCTCTAAGATAAATGTGTTTTCAATATGGCGATTGGTTCATTCAGTTTTGGGGTTTTATTTATCCGGCATATGGAATCCATCCGGAATCTTTCTTTCGCGTTCTGTTCGCACTTCGATTCAGCACACCACATCTCCTTGTTCTTCTTATTTTTATCTAATTCCACACGTTGAAATGTTTTGCACCTTCAGATAACGGTAATTTTTGTTTTGTTTTCTTTCATTACGAAAAACTATCGTTTTCGGATACTTGCCGATTTGTTTAATCGTTGTAGTCACAAAAATGATTCTA